AGGGGTACCTGGGTGGCTCAGTCAGTTAAGCGTCCAACTCTTGATTTCAGCTCAGGTTATGATCTCAGGGTTGTGAGTTCAAGTCCCACATTGGGCTCTGTGCTGGGCAGGGAGCCTGCTTAAGATTCTCTCTTTCACTCTCTGCCACTCCCCCACCCCCTTCTCTCTCCATTTAAGAAAAAAAAAAGGCGAGAAAGAATCAGCAAACTCAAAGATAGGGCAGTAGAATTCATCCAATCGAGGAACAAAAAGAAAAAAAGAATGAGAAAGTATGAATATATAGCTTAGGGAAATTATAGGATAACAGCCCACTGACTGATATCTGCACTGTAGGAATCCCAGAAGGAGAAAAGAAAGACAAAGGACCAGAAAACTTATTTGAGGAAATAATGGCTGAAAACTTCCCTAACGTGAGGTAGAAAACAGACACCCAGATCCAAAAATCCAGACAGTTCCAAATAAAATGGACCCAAGGAGACCCACAAGACACATAATAATTAGTGAAAAAAAAAAGACAAGGAAAGAATCTTAAAACCAGTAAGAGAAAAACCACTTGCTAGGAAACTCTTTGCAGGACCATCAGCAGGTTTTTCACTTGAAACTTTGCAGGCCAGATGGGAGAGACAAAATATATTCAAAGTGCTGAACACTATTAGACAATGGTTGGAAATAAAGAAGACAAACCAAAAAAAAAATATTTACATGCTTGGGAAAATGGATTGAGGGTTGTGGGGGAAGCAGTAGATTGCATTTATCGAGACAGAAATTTCCTCAGAGAGATTACGATGTGTTTGTTTCTTGCTTGTCTTTGAACACTGCAGTATATACTAGGTATTCCAAGTGTTTGATTTGAATATTTGCTTGACTTGTGAAAGATACAGTTACAAAAATCTGTTGACCCAGTAAATGACTGATCATTTTACAAGTTCTTTAAAACTTGTCCGCATTTATCTCCTTAGAAAGTTAATTTTCTTTCACCGAAATTATACAGCAATTTATTGTGTGTTGCACAGAATGGCCACATCCTGGGGTGCCTAAGTGGCTCAGTTGGTTGAGTACCCAACTCTTGATTTTGGTTCAGTTCAAGATCTCAGGATCGTGGGATCGAGCCCCAGGTCGGGCTCCACGCTCAGCAGGGAGTTTGCTTGGATTTTCTCTCTCCCTCTTCCTTAGCCCCTCCCCCGCCCTGTGTGCTCTCTAAAATAAATGAATAAATCTTTTAAAAAAAAAAAAAGCTGCTTCCTCAAAAACAAACAAAAATGGTATATTCACAAAACTCAGACATACTTTGGGGTTATATTCACTGTAACTGTGGACTTATGGTTCCTTACAGCCCTAAGGACCAGGCTTAGAGTAGAAAAAAAATTACAACTGATCTCAATCTCAAAAATTGCAGAAACAGTGTCTTCCACTAACAACATGCAGTTTCTGAGAACTCAGGCCAAACATCCAGCTATCCACCAGAAAATACACAGGGAATTACCGTTGAAATGACTAGTCAACGAGCTTGCCTTGTGGTTTTAGTTTCTGTAGTGAGGCTTTGAAGACTCTTGCTACTTTCAGATTCTGATTTCACATTCTAATCATCTGCCTTCTGATGGCCAGGGGCGGGTAAGAAATCCCCAGGAATGGGGAAGAAGTAGATCAGAAACCAACATACCTACACTGAGGGACAAAGAACTCTTAGCACATTCTCAGGGAAGCAGCTTTCTTACCAGCTCTAAAGGATCTCTGCTACTGAATTTACAGTTAAGGTAAGACTGGGGCAAGGGTGGAAAAGATTTGCAAGGGTCAGAATGTTTTCAAAACTTTCTATCCAGGATAGGGTGCAGTAGACCTGATGTGGACCATTAGACACAATTAAAGACTAAATTGTGATGTTCTAACACAGGGAGCAGAATTCACTAAGTTCCAGCTACATCTGCTTACTGCTGAATCAAACACAAGGATGAGTGGGGACTAAACTGACAATCTGAAATGTCTTAACACTGTTTTCCTCTCTTTGCCACCTTGAGATTTACAGAGATCATACCTGCCACTTAAGTTACCTTTGTTTTTGATAAAACCTGATTAAGTTATCTCAAACTGCAATCTGAAAGTTTGAAGAACTGCAACTGTATTATTTTTATGAGAAAGAGCAATGAATGTGATATAAGGTAAATAGCTTGCTTACATTGTTAAAAACGGAAAAAGAAAAAAATTGAAACTCAGAGTGAACAATGAAGAGGTTTAATGAAAACAGCTATATACTTTTAGTCATAGACTTGAACCTAGTAAGATGGATTTCTTCCTTTAGTAATAACCCTGGATTAATTAATTTTTATTTTCTGGCATGCACTCATTCCTTAGGGCTTCTTGTGCTGGATTCTGTTTCTCCTCTATTGTCTCTACTATTATGAATCATTAAATTTGAGTTGCCCACCTTGACCCGTCAATACTGTCTGGCAATTTTGTTTGCTCCTTAGAGCTCATACTTTGGATTTCTTGCCATGACACATGCTTCACGCATTTTCTTCTTGTTTGATTTCCATTTATCTCCTTGCTAAAAGCCTTTCCTCCCGCTCCAAACTCAAACCAAAAACAATGCAAAACAAAGCAAAAGCAAACAATAATAACAAACAAAACCAACTAGAATTGTATGGCTGATAACAGAGATGATTTCCTCTAGACACCCCATCACTAGCACTTCTGAGCCTTTTCTCCTATATTTCTTGGCATTTTCCTTCTTTATACTTTTTTCCCCTTCTCCTTCAGCTCTCTTTTCTAAGCTAGAAGTTATACTGGTGCAAATAAATATTTATTTACCTCTATTTTTTTTTTCACAAATAGGCTAAGAGTGTTGAGTAGAAATGCCAATGTCATACAAATAGCCACTTGTAGGGCTAGTATTGGAAATCAGGTCTGCCTTATTTCAAAGCCAAATGTGTATTTGTGTGTGTGTGTGTGTGTTGATCCATTCTTGCATTTTTAAAAAAATATTTTTATTTATTTATTTGGGAGAGAGCAAAAGCGAGAGAGATCAGAGAGACAGAGGGAGAAGCAGACTAGCTGCCAAGCCAGAGCCTGATGTGCTGCTCAATCCCAGGATCATGGGATCATGACCTGAGCCAAAGGCAGACGCTTAACGACTGAGCCACCCAGGTGCTCCTCTTGCATTGTTTTTATTTACAAAAGTTTATGAGGCTCTAACAGAGTTAAGAAGAATGCATCTCAGAGCACACATCACAGGCCGGGCTAGGAAAGGCAGAGCAACTGTTAATTACATATGGGTGTGTTCATGTTGAATCTGCAAAGATGGTTTGGAGATTGGGCTCTCCTAAAAGCATTAAAGATGTCACCCAGATAACATTTGGGGACAATGTGTAAAATACTTCTATTAATATAAATACACAGGGCTAATGTTATTCTTTAGGAGGCCTGAAAATTCAGACCCATTAGTTCCCTCTTCCATTAGTGACATCATCCTAAAGCACAAAAGCTTGTAAACCTCCAACATCTGCAAATAGATTTGGATTGTGTATCTTCTGTTTTTCTAACTAACTGTAGATCATCACTGCCAGTTCGCCATATCTTTGTAATCTAAAAATGATTATGACCCCTGCTTTATATAAATCAGGCAACCAGAACTCTACAAATGTACGGTACCAATATTATATTAGAGATGCATTAGAATGGAAATAGACTTGGCATTTGAGTGTGTAAAATCATGGAATTCCTCCTTGGGTTCGGGTTGGCCTGGGCATTTCCTGGCTCCTATGTCCATGGTGCTGTGCCATTTGCAAAGGATCACCTATGATCGGCTCTTAAGCCATTTGTTTTTATTTGTCACCTGAATAATCTCCAATGCATTAGCTATTAGGAAGAGGGGAGAATGAGTTTTTATAATTTTTAAAAAGCAGTTTCTACCACTGGCTAATAAGGGAATCCATAACTTTTCAATTAAGATTTCAGTGAAAGTCAAGCATATATTGGATTTTTAGCTTCCATAGTAAATAATCACTTCTAAAAAGGAAGAAAATTGCTCTTATAATAAGGCAAGGCAAAAAACCAAACATTTTCTTAAAAATGCTTTATCAGCAACTCTTCAGGTTACAGGAATTGATGCCCAGAAGTCAATGGCCAAGTATTATTTACAAAGGTATTTTCACTCACTCTCTCATTCATAAAACAATCATGAATTGAAGTTTTGATTGAAGAAGGCACTACTACAGCTATACAAAAAATTCTTTAAAAGTACAGCTATAAGGGGCACCTGGGTGGCTTGGTCGATTAAGCATGACTCTTGGTTTCAGCTCAGGTCATGATCTCAGAATCCTGAGATGGAGCCCTTGTTGGGCTCTGTGCTGGGCATGGAGCCTGCCTGAGGTTCTCTCTCTCCCTCTCTTTCTGCCCCTCCCTGGCTTGTGTGCCCTCTCTCTAAGCTAGATAGATAGATAGATAGATAGATAGATAGATAGATAGATAGATGTTTTTTAAAAAGTACAGCTATAAGAAGTAAACAATTATGATTTGTTAGATTATGCTACATAATGACCCGGCAGGATTTAGTATAATACAGTTTGACTAGACATAGCCGTACATTAGAGGGAAACAAGTTGATAAAGGGTAAAAGCAAGAAGTATAACAAATGGTGGTCATAAAGATTCAATCTAAGGATTCAGGAAGGTAAAAACTAGGGAACACAAGCAAGCCAAAAACCAAAAGGGAAGAGTCAGATTTAAACTAAAAATAGGTAAAACTCAGGAAATGGATTTCCTTATGCCCACCAAATACTTAAGAACCAATGGTTCTTAAGTATAATAGTCCTGAGAAGGGCCTAGAACTTATTTTACTATGACCCCCTTTGCTGTCTTATTTTCAAAAATTTCTTTGGAAACATTGGCCATTTTGGGAAGTAGTATGTCCCCAAGTTCAGGAAGCAAAATGACTTTCTTTTCTGTAAAACTGGAAATTTTGAACTATCTCATCCCTTCCCTTGCAGACCAGGGAACACTCTGAACATGGCCTCAGAGATCCACATGCCGGCCCCAGTGTGCCTCATTGAGAACATCAGAGGGCAACTGGTGGCTAATCAGGAAGCTTTGGAGATCCTGGCAGCCAATAAGAATCCTCTTGTTGTGGTGGCTATTGTAGGCCTCTACCGCACAGGCAAATCCTACCTGATGAACAAGCTGGCTGGAAAGAACAAGGGTGAGTGGCACCGCCAAAACTCTGCTAAGTCCCTTCTGTCCACCCACACTGCCAGCACTGAGTGCAGTGATGCAAGGAGAGAAAATTAGAGACAGGGAGTAATGCCAAAAGCTAATGTTTGGGCCACAGGTGGCTAATTATTTTCTGGGAAGCAAAGGCAGAGGTCTGTTCCTGACATATCACCTCTTTTTCTTCTCTTAGTTTCTCCCTAGGAAAAGCATATTTTCCCATCTTAAGGAGGAAGACATCAATAAAATAATTTCTATACATGTAATTATAAACTACTAAAATGTGTGACATTCCTGTAAAAAGGAAAAACATCAAATTTACAACCTATGGTATTTGATACTCTCATTTTCCCATTCCTCTGTTGTAATTCAGATAAATACTGGCTATACTTTTTGATGTGTCCTCACTGTGCATTCCTTAAACCCTAGCTCAGTTGTCAAGATCTCCAACTTCCAGATCCCCTCCTCTCTTACTACCTCTCCCTTCCCCCTTGCAGGCTTCTCTATTGGAACCACGGTGCAGTCTCACACCAAAGGTATCTGGATGTGGTGTGTGCCTCATGCCAAGAAGCCGAACCACACCCTAGTTCTTCTTGACACAGAGGGTCTAGGAGATGTAGAAAAGGTAATTTTGATTACCTTTTGATTCCTCCTCACCTCTAAACATTCTTTACACAGGGAGGTTTGTTCTTGTGTTTGTTTTTCTGAATCTGTACTTCTGTTTGACAGAGTATACCTTTTTTCCCTTTCTATTTTTAATAGTCAAAATTTAGAAATCTGAGATGAGAAAAATACATTTATAAGCCAGAATCATGACTGGGACAAGACACTAATATAGAGCTAGGCAGTTAAGTGAAATGCAGAAAAGATGGTACAAATAAAACCACTCTCACGAGTCTGATCCTGCAGAGAAGAGTGATTAGTAGTGAGCTGTGGGTCAGAGGATCTTGGGTTCAAATAAGGGCTCTGGCACTTGTAGCTTTCTGACTTTGACAAGCAAATCTCCCCAGATCTTTTATTTTCCTTTTGATCTTATCCAACTTAGCATTTGAACAGTAAACACGTGGGCTTTTTCCACTTCTATACTGGTATTTAACAACCAGCCCACTGTGTGGGGGTTAGGAGGAAGACTTGATTTGTAGCACTTACCAGTTTTCTAAATATTTCCATCAAAGCGAATTCCAAGCTTCCAAAGTGAAGTCACTAAACTCATGGTTCAGAACAATGCGTGTACAATCAGCTCTTGTGAGCTGGTATGAGCTGGCTCTAGCACCCAACAGAATCTTTCCCTTGCACTTCCCTTGTTTTTCATGTTTTCATTTTGCTTTTGATTTGCCACAAAATCAAAATGGCTACCTCATTTTGTGCTTTAGTTTCCACATCTGTAACATGAAAACCGTAGTTATAAACATATCTCCTAGTATTGCTTTGAGTATTAGACAAGACCAGTAATGTGAACTGTCTTGTGTATAATAACTTGTCAATAAAATAGATATACATATTATGTGTACAGGCCAGATTTGTTTTACACAATTGAAGATCTTGATTTTTTCCTTTTATTTAAAATTCCAATAAAATTCATGTACAGTGTTACATTAGTTTCAGTTGTATTATATAGCAATTCAACAATTCTACACATTACTCAGTGCTCATCACTGTAAGTGTACTCTAATCCCCTTTACCTATTTCATCCATCTACTCCCTCCCACCTCCCTGTGGTAATAATCAGTTTGGTCTCTACAGTTAAGAGTCTATTTTTTATTTTCATTTGTCTCTTTTTTTGTTTTGTTTCTTAAATTCCACATACGACTAAAATCAAAGGGTATTTGTCCTTATCTGACTTATTACACTTAGTATTATACCCTCTAGGTCCATGTTATTGCAAATGGCAAGAATTCATTTTTTTATGGATGAGTAATATTCCATTGTGTGTATGTATGTATGTGTGTGTGTGTGTATATATACACACACACACACACATCTTTATCCATTTTTCAGTCAATGGACACTTGCACTGCTTCCATATTTTGGCTTTTGTAAATAATGTCACAATAAACCTAGGGGTTCATGTATCTTTTTGAATTAGTGTTTTTGCATTCTTTGGGTAAATTTCCAGTAGTGGAATCACTGGATCCATATGATCCATATGGTAGTTCTATTTTTAATTTTTGGAGAAAACTCCACCCTGTTTTCCACAGTGGCTGCAGCAGTTTGCATTTCCACCAACAGTGCACAAGGGTTCCTTTTTCTCCACATCCTCACCAATACTTGTTGTTTTTGTGTTTTTGATGAAAATCTTGATTTTAAGTACTCTGGTTACCCCACTAACTTTGACTATCCATTGCAAATACCTAACTAGTTCTAAGGAAAACTGCTGAAGGGGGAAGAGTTAAGATGGTGGAGAAGTAGGGGGATCCTGAGCTTGTCTCATCCCTCAAACATGGCTAGATAGTTATCAAATTAGTCTGAACAGCCAAGAAGTCAATCAGAAGTCTGAGAGAACAAAAACTGCAAGTCTACAAGTAGAATAACAACCACCTTTGGAAAGCCTTCAGGGAGCAAAACAGTCCACCTACTGGAGGCCAGAGCTGTTTACACCAAGCCCCACCCCCGTGCTCCTGGAGAAGCATTTCCACGGAAACAAGTCAGTCTGAGAATCAGCCCAGCAGGCCCCTCCCCCAGAAGACCAGCACAAACAACTACCTTGCACCAAATTTATTGATCATAGAGTGCTACAAAGCTTCAGCTCTAGGGGAAATAGGATTGAGCTTCCTTTTTACTTTTATTTCTTTTAAATTTATTATTTTTTCATTTATTTTCTTATAGTTCCAAATCTTTTATTAATCTTTTATTATTAACTTTTTAAATTTTTATATGCTTTTCATATATATTTTTTATTTTTTTCTACTTTCATTTTATCTTATTTTTTTATTTTAGGATCTAGATTCTCTTAACAAGTAGACCAAAACACACCCAGGATCTAGTGGGTTTTTTTTTTTCTTGTTTTGTGTTTTTGTTTTCCTTCCTTCATTTTTTACTTTGTCTACTTGTTTCAGTTTTTTGTGTTGTTGTTTTTTCTCTTTCTTCTTTTCTTTTCTGGGCAAAATGATGAGATGGAGGAATTCACCCCAAAAGAAAGAACATAAGGTAGAATTCACAGCCAGGGATTTCATCAATACAGACATAAGATGTCTGAACTAGAATTGAAAACAAGAATTATAAGAATACTAGCTGGGCTTGAAAAAAGCATAGAAGACACTAGAGAATCCCTTACTACAGAGATAAAAGAACTAAAATCTTGTCAGGCCAAAATTAAAAATGCTATAACTGAGATGTAAACATAAATGGGTGCCATAAAAACAAGGATGGATGAAGCAGAGGAACAAATCAGTGATATAGAAGATAAAATTATGGAAAATAATGAAGCCAAAAGGAAGAGGGAAAGAAAGGTAATGGACCATGAAGGTAGAAGAAGGGAACTCAGCACCCTAGTAAAATGTAATAACATTCATATCATAGGAGTCCCATAAGATAAAGAGAGAGATAAAGGGGCAAAAGGTGTGTTCCAACAAATTATAGCTGAAAACTTCCCTAATCTGGGGAAGGACACAGACATCAAAATCCAGGAAGCACAGAGAACTCCCATTAAATTCAACAAAAGCCCACCATCAGAAAGGCATATCATAGTCAAATTCACAAAATAGATAGACAAGGAAAGAATCCTGAAAGCAGCAAGGGCAAAATTAACCTACAAGGGAAGACAGATCAAGTCTGTAGCAGATCCGTTCGCAAAAACTTGGCAGGTCAGAAAGGAGTGGAAGGAATTATTCAGTGGCCGAATGGGAAAAATATACAGACAAGAATTCTTTACCCAGCAAGCCTGTTATTCAGAAAGGAAGGACAAAGAGTTTTCCAGACAAACAAAAACTAAAGGAGTTTGTGACCACTAAACCAGTCCTGTAAGAAATTTTAAGGGGAACTCTTTGAGGGGAGAAAAAAAGACCAAAAGCAACAAAGACTAGAAAGGACCAGAGAACATTACCAGAAACACCAACTCCACAGGTAACACGAGGGCACTAAATTCATATTGCTCAATAACCACTCTGAATGTAAATGGACTAAATGCTCCAATCAAAAGACACAGGTATCAGAATGGATAAAAAAGCAAGATCCATCTAAATGCTGCCTACAAGAGACTCATTTTAGACCTAAAGTCACCCACAGATTGAAAGTCAGGGGATGGAGAACCATCTATGATGCTAACAGATATCAAAAGAAAGCGAAAGTAGCCATACCTATAGCAAACTAGATTTTAAAACAAAGACTAAAACAAAAGATGAAGAAGGGCATTTTATCATAATTAAGGGGTCAATCATCAAGAAGATCTAACGATTGTAAATATTTATGCCCCCAACTTGGGAGCACCCATATATATATAAATCAATTAAACAACATAAAGAAACTCATTGATGATAATACTAGTAGGGGACTTTAACATCCCAATTACAGCAATGGACAGATCATCTAAGCAGAAAATCAACAAGGAAACAATGGTTTTGAAGGACACACTGGACCAAGTACATTTGGACTTAACAGATATAGTCAGAACATTTCTACCTAAAACGGCAGAGTATACATTCTTCTCGAGTGCACATGGAACATTCTCGAGAATAGATCACACATTGGGTCACAAATCAGCCCTCAACAAGTACAAAAAGATTGAGATCATAACATGATTATTTTCAGACCACAACGCTATGAAATTGGAAGTCAACCACAAGAAAAAAATTGAAAAGACCTCAAAAACATGCAGGTTAAAAAACATCCTATGAAAGAATGAATGGGTTAATCAGGAAATTAAAGAGGAAATTTAAAAAATACATGGAAGCAAATGAAATTGAAAGCACAACAGCCCAAACCCTACGGGACGCAGGAAAGGCAGTCTTAAGGGGAAACGTTTATTACAGTACAGGTCTACCTCAAGAAGCAAGAAAAGTCTTGGGCGCCTGGGTGGCTCAGTTGGTTAAGTGACTGCCTTCGGCTCAGGTCATGACCCTGGAGTCCTGGGATCAAGTCCCACATCGGGCTCCCTGCTCAGCAGGGAGTCTGCTTCTCCCTCTGACCCTCTTCCCTCTCATGCCCTCTATCTCTCATTCTCTCTCTCTCAAATAAATAAATAAAATCTTAAAAAAAAATAAAATAAAGCAAGAAAAGTCTCAAATATATAACCTAAACTTACACTTAAAGTTAAGAGCTAGAAAAGAACAGTAAATAAAGCCTAAAGCCAGCTGAAGAAGGGAAATAATAAAGACTAGAGCAAAAATCAATGATATACAAACAACCCAGTAGAACAGATTAACAAAGAGCTGGTTCTTCAAAAAATTAATGAAATTGATAATCCCCTACCAGACTTATCAAAAAGAAAAGAGAAAGGACCCAAATAGATAAAATCACAAATGACAGAGGAGAGATCACAACCAACATCACAGATATACAAGAATACTATGAAAAATTATATGCCAACAAACTGGACAATCTGGAAGAAATGGACAAATTCCTAGAAACTTACAAACTACCAAAACTGAAACACAAAGAAATTGAATACTTGAACAGACCCATAACCAGCAAAGAAATTGAAACAGTAATCAAAAAATCTCTGGGCTGAATGGCTTCCCAGGGAAATTCTACCAGACATTTAAATAAGAGCTAGCACCTATTCTTCTCAAACTATTCCAGAGAATAGAAATGGAAGGAAAGCTTCCAAATTCATTCTACAAAGCCAGCTTCCCTTGATTCCAAAAACCCCACTACAAAGAAGAATTACAGGCCAATATCCCTGATGAACATGGATGCAACAAGTCTCAATAAAATACTAGCAAATCAAATCCAACTGTACATTAGGAGAATTATTCACCACGATCAAGTAGGATTTATTCCTGGGCAGCAGGGCTGGTTCAATATTCCCAAATCAATCAACATGATATACTACATTAATAAAAGAAAGGATAAAAACCATATGATCCTCTCAATAGATGCAGAAAAAGCATTTGACAAAATACAGCATCCATTCTTGATAAAAACCCTCAACAAAGTAGGGATAGATAGAACACACCTCAACATCATAAAAGCCTTATCTGAAAAACCCACAGCTAATATGATCCCTAGGGGAAAAACTGAGAGCCTTTCCCCTATGGTCAGGAACAAGACAAGGATGTCCATTCTCACCATTACTATTTAACATAGTACTGGAAATTTTAGCCCCAGCAATCAGACAACACAAAGAAGTAAAAGGCATCTGAATAGGCAAGGAAGAAGTCAAACTTGCACTATTTGTAAACAATATGATACTCTATGTAGAAAACCTGAAAGACTGCACCAAAACATTGCTAGAAGTTATACATGAATTCAGCAAAGTGGCAGGATATAAAATCAATGTGCAGAAATCTGTTGCATTTCTATACACCAATAACAAAGAAGTAGAAAAAGAAACAAGGAATCAACCCCCTTTGCCACTGCACCCAGAACAATAAGATACCTAGGAATAAACCTAACTAAAGAAGTAAAATATCTGTACTCTGAAAACCACAGAACACTTTGGAAAGAAATTGAAGAGGACACAAAGAAATGGAAAAGCATTCCATGTTCATGGATTAGAAGAACAAACATTGTTAAAATAGCCATATTACCAATACCCAATCTACACATTTAATGCAATCCCCATCAAAATACCATAGAGCTAGAAGAAACAATCCTAATTGTATGGAACCATGAAAGATTCCAAATAGCCAAAGCAATTCTTAAAAAGAAAAACAAAACTGGAGGCATAACTATTCCAGATTTCAAGCTCTATTACAAAGCTGTAGTCATCAAGACAGTATGGTACTGGCACAAAAACAGACAGATCAATGAAACAGAATAGAGAACCTAGAAATGGACCCACAACTATATGGTCAACTAATCTTCGACAAAGCAGGAAACAATATCCAATGGAAAAAGTCTTTTCAACAAACGGTGTTTGAAAAACTAGACAGCAACATGCAGAAAAAATGAAACTAGATGACTTTCTTACACCATACACAAAAATAGATTCAAAATGGATGAAAAACTTTAATATGAGACAGGAAACCATCAAAATTCTAGAGGAGGACATGGGGGGAAACCTCTGTGACCTCGGCCGCAGCAACTTCTTACTGGACACATTGCCAGAGGCAAGGGAAACAAAAGCAAGCATGAACTATTGGGGCTTCATCAAGATAAAAAGCTTCTGCACAGAGAAGGAGACAATCAACAAAACTAAAAGACACCCTACAGAATGGGTGAAGATATTTGCAAACAACGTATCTGATAAAGGGTTAGTATCAAAAATCTACAACGAACTTACCAAACTCAACACCCCAAACACAAATAACCCAGTTAAGAAATGGGAAGAGGCCATGAATACTTTTCCAAAAAAAGACATCCAGGTGGCTAACAGACACATGAAAAGAAAAGAAAAGCATCTTTTCTATACATCTTAAATGTATAAATTTAAGAGTCCTTAAATTTACAGATGAAACATCAACATCACTCATTATCAGGGAAAAACAAATGAAAACCATGATGAGATATCATCTCACACCTGTCAGGATGGTTAAAATTAACAGCACAAGAAACAACAGGTGTTGGCAAGGATGCAGAGAAAGGAGAACCCTCTTGCACTGCTGGTCGGAATGCAAATTGGTACAGCCACTCTGGAGTACGGAGGTTCCTCAAAAAGTTAAAAATAGAACTACCCTATGATCCAGCAATTGCACTACTGGGTATTTACCCAAAGGATACAAAAATACAGATTCAAAGGGATACATGCACCCCAATGTTTATAGCAGCATTATCAACAATAGCCCAACTATGGAGAGAGCCCAAATACCAATCGACTGATGAATGGATAAAGAAAATGTGGTACATATATACAATGGAATATTATTCAGCCATCAAAAAGAATGAAATCTTGCCATTTGCGATGACATGGATGGAGCTAGAGTGTATTATGCTAAGTAAAAGAAGTCAGTCAGAGAAAGACAAATACCATATGATCTCACTCATACATGGAATTTAAAAAAGAAAACAGATGAACATATGGGAAGAGGGCAAAGAAAAAAAGGAGAGAGGGAAATAAGTCATAAGAGTCTCTTAACGATAGAGAACAAACTAAGGGTTGATGGAGGGGTGGGGGACAGGTGATGGGTATTAAGGAGGGCACTTGTTATGATCAGCAGTGGGTGTTTATGTAAGTGACCGATCACTGAATTCTACTCCCAAAACTAATATTGCACTGTATGTTAACTACTTAAAATTCAAATAATTTTTGGGCACCTGGGTGGCTCAGATGGTTAAGCGTCTGCCTTCGGCTCAGGTCATGATCCCAGGGTCCTGGGATCAAGTCCCGCATTGCTCCTTGGGAGCCTGCTTCTCCCTCTGCTTCTCTCTCTCTCTCTCCCTCTCTCTCTCCCTCTGTCTCTCATGAATAAATAAATAAAATCTTTAAAAAAAAATAAAATTTAAATAATTTTTTAAAAAAGAAAAACTGGTGAGTTAACAATATATGGTTCTGTATAAATTTATCAATGCTGATAGAACTATATTATTCAATGTTCATATGTTTCTCATAAACATTTTTGTTTATCTTGTTTAACATTTGTAAGTCAAGGGCCTATTTTTAATGATTGCTCATCTAAAAATACCATGAGACATGATTTAAATTTGTTCTTTAGGGTGACAAGAAGAATGATACCCAGATCTTTGCACTGGCAATACTACTGAGCAGTATCTTTGTATACAATACTATGAACAAAATTGACCAGAGAGCTATTGACCTGTTGCAGTATCCTTTTGTGGTCCAAGATGGCACCAAAGCTGAGAGAACTGTATTTACCAACTGTGTTTGTGAATCAAACACAAAAATGAAAACATGTAAGCATTAAAGGTACAATAAAAAGAGTCCTTAAATTTACAGATGAAATAAGGAGTTAAGACCCAAAGGGAAAATAGAAGAATAGGGAGACATGGAATTAAATATACGGGCTTAGATGAGTTCTATTTCCAAGAGTTTTCCTTAACTGCATCCCAGCTATGTGACAGAACTGTCAAATCGGCTCAGGAAAGTAGCCTCACCTGATTTTGAAGGGGTTGAAGATGCAACTAACCTTGAGAGCTTCTGTCCAGACTTCGTGTGGACTCTGAGAGATTTCTACCTAACCCTGGAAGTAGATGAGCAAGTCATCACAGCAGATGAATACTTGGAGAATTCCCTGAGGCTAAAGCAAGGTAACAGGGACTTGAGTCTTAGAAAGAGATGAAAAGTAATAAAAGAAATTACCTCTCAAGTGTAGGTGGTTAAATTCATAGTTTCCTATATTTACTCACCTGGGCTAAAGTACCAAACAAATATTAATTTATAGTGAACTAACTGACTCAATATTAAAATGTATTACTCCTCTGTTCTTGGAGCAAGGTTTTCTTTTTTCCTTTCCCTAATTAGTTACCTTTTAGCTTTTTGCTTAGAGTCTGTGAAGATTTACTGAAATAAAATAACATCAGGTGGAAGGCACATTTGTGGAGAGTAAGTTAACTCAAATGTTAATCTTGTACCAAATAAATCCTATTTTTCTTTCCCCAGGCACTAATCAAAGTGTTCAAAATTTCAATTTGCCCCGTCTATGTATAAAAGAATTCTTTCCAATAAGGAAATGCTTTATCTTTGACTCTCCCACTCACCGGAAGAAGCTTGCCGAGCTTGAGTCACTGCCTAATGAAGATCTGGATCCTGAATTTGTGGAACAAGTGGCAACATTCTGTTCCTACATCTTTAACCATTCCAAGACTAAAGCTCTTCCGGGAGGTATCAAGGTCAATGGGCCCCGTGAGTATCTTTTTTAGGATTTCCTTCAATTCAGCATAAGGAATGGGACACTGTTCTAAGTTTCTCCTTCCACTGTCAATGTTGAAAGTGCATAGTCAGTTACTACCAAGAAAATCATGTGTATCATATTTATTAAATTCCAGTGGGTACCAAAAATATTTCTAGTGTTTAGTAATGCCTCAAAAGTAGGATAAAATAGAAATGTAACCTGGAAAAAAAAGTCAAGTTAAAAAAGTTCTCCCCATAAGTGGTCCACTGTTGAACTAGACTAACCCGCATGGGTTGGCACCATGTGTTCAAACAATATAGTAGATACTTATTATATGTCCCAGGCTTTGAGAGACACAAAAATGAGGACCACATATACATTCTCTGTGGAAATGGAGTTCATACAAACATTAAACAGAGGCCCAGGTTGTTTAGAACCCTAAAAAAAATCTAAGCAGACTTCTAGATCCAGTTTCTCTTGGTCTGTATGTCTCAGAATTCTGTAAATTATTACTGCATTCTAGAAGAAAGGTGAGTGCAAACAAAACTATGCAAAGGACAAGAAAGACAAACAGGAACGTTTCGACAAAGGGTAAAGGAGACCTGGTCTAATGTGCTCGCTTTGTGCTTTTCCAGAGCAGGATAACACTCATGCTTTACATACCGAAGTGAAAGATGAAAGGGAACTCTGAAGGGAACAGAACCTCGAGGAAGGGGGGAAGAAAGGGAAGAGTAAAGAAGCAAAAGGCCTAGGATGCCTGGGTGGCTCAGTCAGTTAAGTGACTACCTTCGGCTCAGGTCATGATCCTGGAGTCCTGGGATCGAGTCCTACATCGGGCTCCCTGCTCGGCAGGGGGCCTGCTTCTCCCTCTGACCTTCTCCCCTCTCATGCTGTTTCTCACTCTCTCTAATAAAAAAAATCTTAAAAAAAAAAGAAGCAAAAGGCCTATAGCATCCTAATCAAACAAATATGCCCAAGTTTATATGACCATTTTCTTATTTCCCAATGAGAAAAGGATGAAATGTGGATGATCACATACATCTTGAGTTTTTCCCTTTGAATACTTTCTTTTCCCAAAGAAAGAACGATCTTTGTTTTGGTCACACAGTCTCCCAAAGGACCTTATTTGGACCACTTGAACAGTGTGCACAAAGCTGAAAAAATGCAGGCAATGCTTGTGAAATTAACATTCACAGAATTACCCAGTTTAGGGCACGCCTTCTTTCTTAAAAATAATACAAGCATCTCCTCCCCCTGTGAAGGTCTAAAGAGCCTAGTGCTGACCTACATTAATGCCATCAGTCGTGGGGATCTGCCCTGCATGGAGAACTGTCTTGGCCTTGGCCCAGATCAAGAACTCAGCAGCAGTAGAAAAAGCCATTGCCCACTATGACCAGCAGATGGGCCAGAAGGTGCAGCTGCCCACGGAAACCCTCCAGGAGCTGCTGGACCTGCACAGGGAAAGTGAAAGAGAGGCCATAGAACTCTTCATGAAGAACTCTTTCAAGGATACGGACCAAAAGTTTCAGAAGGAATTAGAAGTAATTATCTTTTCTTTTTTCTTCTCTAGTTCATGGGGCTTATGAACAATAAGAGGCAAAGTTGCTTTTTACTGCTATGAAAGGCAAAATGGGGACTGAAAAAAGAAAAGCAATCCTCACTAGACTGGAAAATAATGATTACCACTTACCTGATCAAGATATCACTTATTCTAAAAACAAACAAACATGTTACTACCCTGGATCCTATAGATTCTGAAACTTTCACACACACAAGATGCACTGTACCATGTTACAACCATGGACTAATTTTTTAAGCCATCTTATTCCTTAAAACATTTTATTCATAAAGCATTCATTAACTTTCCTTTTTTATTAATCAAGCATACAGAATTGCCAAATGGGTCTACTAAAAGATTATGGTTCCAGGTTTGATAGCATACACTATATCTGCAGTCCCCCTACTCACTGGGAATCCCAGGCCCAGTGTCACACTAAAACCAGAAATGTTGTAAAACAGTAGATTGCATTTAAAATTACGGCATGAGGCTAGAGATCTGTAGTCTAAAGATGACATCTAAAGCAGAAATAGCAGAAGAGAGGTTTCAGGGGATTTCAAACACAAAAGCAAAGTATTTTCTACAGTGTATCATCTTTAGAACTTTTCTAGGCTTGGTGAGAAAGATACAGTCTTACTTGTAGCCCTTTAGTTTCTATTAAAAAAAAATATAAAGATTCTTTTTGAGAACCATTTCTAGAAATGCTGAAATGTTGGCTAACATCTTTTCCGTGGACTTCTGTCTCACTGAAGACTCTGCTAGAAGCAAGAAAGGATAACTTATATGAACAGAACATGGAGGCATCATCATACCGTTGCTCAGCTTTACTTCAGGCTATTTTTGGTCCTCTAGAAAATGATGTGATGCAGGGGATTTATTCAAAACCAGGAGGACATCATCTCCTCATTCAGAAGACAGAATTGCTGAAAGCAAGATACTATTGGGAGCCCAGGAAAGGAATGCAGGTATTCCAAGTTTTATCTATTAATTGCAGGAAATTGTTAAGGGGCTTCTTTCAAAAACCAATGAGGACAGGAAGAAAGTATTTATTCTCTAATGGTAGCTGTGGAATTAAACCGAACCATATCACCATAATCACCAGACGTTTATTGCAATCATGAACATTCATTATAATGATAGAACTTTCTTGGTGACATGGCACAGAATGGCAGTAACTGAAGCTAATGTAGAAAAAATGATAATTGACTGCCTTATATAAACTAAAAGCAAAACATTTAAATACCATTGCAAGTATAGCTACATTCAGGAGTTCAAACAGTATCCTAAATTTTACCCCTTCCTTCCTTCTTTCCAATCTCCACTTCAGCTTTTTGTTCCGTTTTCCTCACTATTGGTTTCATTCTCAGGCAGGCTCACCCCACATGGCGGCAGCATGACACCAACAGCTCCAAGCTTAGCTAGTCTTTTGTGCTCGCAATCTTGGGGAGAAAGCTTATCTTCCCAGCATCCATATCAGTCTTTCAAACACCCAGGTTGCAGTCTTTTCCCCTTGTCCCCAAATTCTTTGCATCTAGCGGCCTTGGGTGTTCTGATTGGCCAGCCCAGAGATTGGCCACCCCTGTGACAAATGAGGCTTCATTGGCAGGGTTACCGACTACAGGGCTGAGCACTTCCAGGAAGGAAAGGATCCGGGGATGAAATAAAGGTTTATAACATTCTTAATCCCGATTTCCTACTTCTAACTGCATGTTTTTGGGGTCCCCAGGCTGAGAAGGCTCTGCAGGAATATTTACAGTCCAGACAGTCTACAAGCGATGCCATCCTACAGATAGACCTGGCTCTAACAAAGAGGCAAAAGGAGATAGAAGGTGAGTAGGAAATGGAGGGGATGTAAGACAGATCTTGCCACACATTTTAAGTGAATTTCACCTGGTTCACCTGTGATCCGTAAACCAGAGCAAGTGTGTGAAAGATGATTTCCTAGCTCCTTGGGCTGAAGCTGAATAGGGTATGTACCGTCTGCTGCAACATGGTTTTCTGGAAGGGAAACAGTCCCAGGGAATTTTCTTTATGAGGTAGTAGCAATAACAAGAGTGGAAAGCAGAAGGAAGAGGCTCTCTAATCCTAGAGAGGGTTGCCATTTTCTTCTTTTTCAGAGGTACATATGAAAGCAATGGCTGCGAAAATTGTAGCACAAAGGTTGGAGGTGATTCAGAGGTATAACCAGCAAATGATGGAGCAAAGGGAGCGGCTCCATCAAGAACAAGTGAGACAGATGCAAATGTTCAGAAAGTACCAGGTGCAATAACAGCAGAGGGCCCTAGAACGTCGATTCCAGGTATTCATCAAGTATTTCATCTCAGGATTTTAATCGTGTCTCCCCTCCCTGTATCGATGAGGCATGAAGCAGTGACAAGGCGGAGAAGCAGTACGGTACTGTGGCACAGGTCAAGGACTCTGGAGTCAGACATCGTAGGTATGAATCCCAGCTCCACCTCCTACGACAGACGTGGTTTGGGCACCCTATCTGTCCTCTCTGTGCCTCGGTTTCCTCTGGTGGAAAATGGAGACAGTAATAATGCCCATTTTATAGGTTATTTTGATAATTAAATGAGAACATTTGAGTTCAGAATTGTGTTTGTTCTAGAAAAAGCACTAAAATTTGTTAAATAAAAGCCCAGGCCCTCTCTATCCCCTGGCAATTAGGGTTTGTTTGGTTGGTTGGTTGGTTGTTTTTTGGGGTTTTTTTTTTTTTTTTTGGTACCTTGTTCATTGCTCTAGACAGTCTTCTTCTTTGGTTATGATTACCTTATTAAATTAATTCATCCTTTTGTGTCTATGCCCCTATCCTTGCCTTAATCATCAGTGGTTCTAAAGGCCTTTAGCTTGCAGTTTATTTCATTCAGTCCTTTACTATTACCATTACTCAAAAAGCAGTAGCTCCTATTTACCAAGCACCGTACAAAGTACTTTGCATTCATGCTCTCATCTGTCCTGTTCAGTGTGAAGCAGAAGTATTAGGTGCGATGAGAAAAATGAAGTTCCAAAAAGAGATAACTCAATGCCAATACCAGCTTACCAAATTATCTAAACTGCTTTCCCAGAAATTAGGATCTTCAGTGGTTTGTTTCTACAAACCTGGTACAAAAATCTTGGGTGGATACCCTTATGAGACAGCCCTTCCCCAGGGCGGGGGGGGGGGGGGGGGGGGCGTGGACAGTCTACCTGCACGTCCCAGTTTTCCAGGTACTGATCCAAGACTTTCTGAGATTACAGCCCTGCACCAAGGGGCAGTATAGTCAACGTGGGATTCTTGATCTCCTTGCTCTCCTTCTACTTCTGTCCCCTAACTGTGGAGACCTAGAACAAATTACCTTAGCAAAGGCTCAAACTCCTTGCCTGACTGTAGAGGTCACCTAGACACCCAGCTTCTCTTCTTCAAACTAGATCTGACATTCCTCTCTGTATAGATGAGAATTAAAGTCTGGCTGTGACAAAGATTGCCTAGGGAGGATGTATAAAATAAGGGGATATAATTCTTGGGACACCAATATTTCAGGGATTTGGGAGAAGATGTTGTTTCTGGAGCTAGAGAAAGAGGTAAAAGGAGAGGGATGACACAAGTAGGAAACCAAGAATGAGAAATGCACATGAATGGAAAAGAAGAATTCAGTGACTGTCTTTTGTTACTTACTGACAGATTAAAATAAACAAAGAAAAGTCAATGATCTGGGCTTTTTCCCAAGTGATTTGGACATTACTTTCTGCTAAGCTCTACTGTTTTATTAACACTCTTTAGGAAGAGGCCGAAAATCTCAATAAGGAAATCGAAGCTGAACACAGAAGCCTTCAAAACAAAATCCAGGATCTCCAGAGGAATGCTGCCTCACAGGATGATCAGGATGATAAATGCATCTTACTCTAAAGAGTTAAACATCAGAAATAACTTTTCTTGTTCTCTTTCACTAAAGACACAAAAGAATGAGAAACCATAGAACCTGGGACAATCACCACTTAAACTTCATAATTATTGTATCAAACTTCTGTACAATTATAAAGATATAAGGCTTGTAATTAGTAAAATGTACATTTCAATAATTCCATAGTTTAAATGATGATCACTTCCTTAAAGAGACTGTGAAATTGTGTAATAAGGGAATTTTATCACTCTCTTTGGGGTGATACTGGATTGGTTCCATCAGGGGAAACTGTCTTGTAACCCAAATCCATCCCTCCAATTTTCCATTTTTGGACTGAGGGGATTGGAAGTGGCCTCAGGGGTGTTATCCACAATGGACCAAGTCAAGTACAATTTGGCCAAAGTCATGGGCTCAGATGGGCATCACTCCTGCCAAGTGGTCTTGTGCTGGATGCCATCAGAGGGAGGCACCAATACTAAGGACGACTAATCTCGCTTCTTAGTGGAAACAATGCATGGTTCTCATGTGAATGGACATTGCTCAATCTATGGGCAATGATGTGACTTCTGGGTATGGTTAGTAAATAGTCTGCTTAAATTCTAAGCTGTAAACAAAACAAAAGAAAATAACTAAAAAAAAAAAAAAAATGGTAATGAAATAGAGGTACTCCAGAAAATGGAAAGAACTACCAGCATAGAAATTGTGTCATAAGCTGAGGGCTAAATAAGACTTTTCCTTGTTCATCCTCACAAAGGGCATAACTTAAATAGGATAGTTTATATCATGAAGCAATTTATATTGGACTTAATAACTGTGTGTCACATGTTTATAATCCTTCAGAGCCTGTTAAATAGATGGTATAAGAAAGGCTAGATAAGGTGCATGGGGATCATTTCCTTTTTACACTTACTTTAGTGCTTAAGTTAAATGATCTTAATTCTTTGCAATCATATATAAAAGTGTACTGATTTTTTTCTAAAATTATGGATTGTTTAAATATATTGGTACATATTTTTAGCTATAAATAACAATTAAATTTTTCAAAAACATAACTCTACCACTTTGTTTTTATTTTCTCCAAAATTAGAAAAATTTGGAAGGTCATAAATGCTGCAGACACATGACTGTACCTTGAGGTTATCCACTTGCACCACTGCTCTCTCTCTATATGTGTCTAACATGGCCTCTGCACAGCAGGGCACTCTCATGTGGCCAGCTTCCAAGACAGTGTTTCAAGTAGCAAAACTATAAGCTTAAGATCTCTTAAGATCCAGTTTTGCACTCAACACCCCTTTTTCTGCATTCCATTGTATCAGAATAGTTCATAGCGACAGCCCAGATTCAAGGCAATGAGAAATGGATCTACCTCTCTATATGAGGTGTGGCAATAAATTTGCAGCCATTTTAAAAAGATCTATTTATTTTGGGGGAGGCGGGTGCCTGGGTGGCTCAGTTGATAAAGCATCTGCCTTTGGCTCAGGTCATGATCCCAGGGTCCTGGGATTGAGCCCCGTGTCTGGCTCCCTGCTCGGCAGGGAGTCTGCTTCTCCCTCTCCCTCTGCCACTCCCCCTACTTGTGCTCTCTCTCTCTCTCATTCCAACTATCTCTCTCTAATAAATAGAATATTTTTATTTTTTTATTTTTATTTTTTTAAAAGATTAGAGAGAGAGAGCACATGAGAGGGGGGAGGGTCAGAGGGAGAAGCAGACTCCCTGCTGAGCAGGGAGCCCGATGAGGGACTCGATCCTGGAACTCCAGGATCATGACCTGAGCCGAAGGCAGTTGCTTAACCAACTGAGCCGCCTGGGTGGCTCAGTTGGTTAAGCATTGACTCTTGATTTGGACTAAGTCATGATCTCAGGGTCTTTAGATTGAGCCCTGTGTCAGGCTCCCATTCAGTGGGGAGTCTGCTTAAAAGACAAACAAAAACTAAAGGAGTTCATGACCACTAAAACAGCCCTACAAGAAATATTAAGGGAGACTTTGAGTGGGGAAAAAAAGACCAAAAGCAACAAAGACTAGAAAGGAACATCACCAGAAACACCAACTCCACAGGTAACACAAGGGCACTGAATTCATATCGCTCAATAATCACTCTGAACGTAAATGGACTAAATGCTCCAATCAAAAGACACAGGTATCAGAATGGATAAAAAAGCAAGATCCATCTAAATGCTGCCTACAAGAGACTCATTTTAGACCTAAAGTCACCCGCAGATTGAAAGTCAGGGGATGGAGAGCGATCTATGATGCTAACAGATATCAAAAGAAAGCCAAAGTAGCCATACCTATAGCAGACAAACTAGATTTTAAAACAAAGACTATAACAAAAGATGAAGAAGGGTATTTTATCATAATTAAGGGGTCAATCATCAAGAAGATCTAACGATTGTAAATATTTATGCCCCCAACTTGGGAGCACCCATATATATAAATCAATTAATAACAAACATAAACTCAATGATGATAATACAATAACAGTAGGGGACTTTAACATCCCAATTACAGCAATGGACAGATCATCTAAGCAGAAAATAAACAAAGAAACAATGGTTTTGAAGGACACACTGGACCAAGTCCATTTGGACTTAACAGATATAGTCAGAACATTTCATCCTAAAACAGCAGAGTACACATTCTTCTCGAGTGCACATGGAACATTCTCCAGAATAGATCACACACTGGGTCACAAATCAGCCCTCAACAAGTACAAAAAGATCAAGATCATACCATGTATATTTTCAGACCACAATGCTATGAAATTGGAAGTCAACCACAAGAAAAAAATTGAAAAGACATCAAAAACATGCAGGTTAAAGAACATCCTATAGAATGAATGGGTTAATCAGGAAATTAAAGAGGAAATTTAAAAAATACATGGAAGCAAATGAAATTGAAAGCACAACAGCCCAAAACCTTTGGGATGCAGGAAAGGCAGTCTTAAGAGGAAAAGTTTATTACAGTACAGGTCTACCTCAAGAAGCAAGAAAAGTCTCAAATATACAACCTAAACTTACACTTAAAGTTAAGAGCTAGAAAAGAACAGTAAATAAAGCCTAAAGCCAGCAGAAGAAGGGAAATAATAAAGACTAGAGCAGAAATCAATGATATAGAAACAAACAAACCAGTAGAACAAATTAACAAAACTAAGGGCTGGTTCTTCAAAAAATTAATGAAATTGATAAGCCCCTACCAAACTTATCAAAAAGAAAAGAGAAAGGATCCAAAGAGATAAAATCACAAATGACAGAGGAGAGATCACAACCAACATCACAGAAATACAAACAATTACGAGAGAATACTATGAAAAATTATATGCCAACAAACTGGACAATCCGGAAGAAATTCCTAGAAACTTACAAACTACCAAAACTGAAACACAAAGAAATTGAACACTTGAACAGACCCATTAACCAGCAAAGAAATTGAAACAGTAATCAAAAATCTCTGGACTGAATGGCTTCCCAGGGGAATTCTACCAGACGTTTAAAGAAGAGCTAGCACCGGAATAGCAACAACTCTCTGAACAGAAAAGCGACCACTTTCTGGAAGGTAGGACGTGCGGAGAAGTGAATCCAAGGCGATATTCGGGAGGATAGACGGCGGGGGAGGGGACCTCCATTGGCTGCTTCTGCCAAGTGATAGAGCCGCAGAGCACAAAATCGGAACTTTTAGAAGTCAGCTCCGCTGAGGGACATCGCTCCAGTGGCTAAGCGGGGGGTAGAACCCTGGTGGGACAGTGTGGTCTCAGGACCCTCGGGGTCACAGAAAGACTGGGGGTGCCTGAGTGCAGCAGAGCTCCCAGGTATCGGAGCGGGGAAGCCGGCTGCAGAGATGGAGCCTAGGAGCAAGCTCTCAGCTCGGGGTTGCCATAACTGTGATCCGTGGCACAGTCGGGCCACTGCTCCTCCAGCAGGGACCCAACAAGCGGCAGATCCGGGGAGACTCCCCTTCCTCCCCCGGGAGGAGCGGCGCGGGAGCGCACCACAGGGATCTGCTGGATTTGGAGACTCCACACAGGGTCGGGTGCCAGAGATAGAAATGCTTGGTCACAGGCCGGGTGAGCACGGAGTGCGGCCGGAGACCAGGGACAAGGGAGTGACTGACTGCTTTTCTCTGGGGGCGCAGTGAGGAGCGGACCCCGAGTTCTCGGCTCCTCCCAGGCAGAGATTGGGAGGCCACCATTTTCACTCTCATCCTCCAACACTGTACGGAAAGCTTGCAGGGAACAAAAGCTCCCAAGAGCAAACCTGAGCAGATTGCTTAGCCCTGACCGGCAAGGGTGGGGCAATTCCACCTCCGGCAAAGACATTTGGGAACCACGGCAACAGGCCCCTCCCCCAGAAGATCAGCACGAACAGCCAGCAAGCCAAGACCAAGTTTACCGATCAAGGAGAACGGGAGAACTCCAGCGCTAGGGGAATACTGCACATAGAATTCATGGCTTTTTTTTTTTTTACCATGATTCATTAGTTTTTCAAAGTTAATTTTTTAACTGTTTTTTTTTAATTTTTCTTTTTCCCTTTTTCAACCAACATCTTATCAATCCCTTTTTTAAAAAACATTTTTTATTTTTCATTTTGAGAGCCATATTTTATCCCTTCATAGTAGTTACCCTTATTTTTGGCATTTATATATAAGTTGTTCTCTCTTTAAAATTTTGAGATACAGTTTCTTCTAACATCAAAATATATCCTAAATCGCTAGTGTATGGCTTTTTTCCAGTCTCCTGCCTGATCACATTCTCTCCCCCCCTTTTTTCTTTCTTTCCTTTTGTTTTTAATCCTCTTCTTTCTTCAAACACCTTATCAATTCCTTTTTTAAAATTTTTTATAATTTTCATCCTTACAGTCATATTCCATCCCATCGTATCAACCCTTATTTTGTACATATATAAGTCTTTCTTTCTTTAAAATATTAAGAGGCACCTTCTTCTAACAGACCAAAATACACCCAAAATCTAGCGTGTGGCACTGATCTATGCACCAGCCTGATCATATTT